GGCGCGCTGGCCGGAGGAGGCCCTGCGGCGCCGCGCGGGCTTCTCGCCGGTGTGGATCCTCTGGTGGTGGAAGAGGGCCGGGCGCTCGCGGAAGGCTCGGCCGCACTGCGCGCACACGAACGGCTTCTCGCCCGTGTGGATGCGCCGGTGGCTGAGCAGCACGGCGCCCTTGGCGAAGGCCTTGCCGCAGTCCCCGCAGCGGAAGGGCCGCTCGCCCGTGTGCAGCAGCTGGTGCTGCGTGAGGTTGGAGCTGTGGCTGAAGGCGCGGCCGCACTGCGCGCAGGTGAAGGGTTTCTCGCCCGTGTGCACCCGCTGGTGCTTGAAAAGCGAGGAGCCCTGGCTGAAGGCGGCCCCGCAGAGCGTGCAGGCGTAGGGCTTCTCCCCGGTGTGCGTGCGCTCGTGCTGGATCAGGTGCGAGTTGCGGCAGAAGCGGCGGCCGCACCGCGCACAAGCATAGGGCCTCCCGCCCGCGTGGATCTTGCGGTGCTGGCTGAGGTTGGAGCCGTGGCTGAAGGCCTTGCCGCACTCGCCGCAGCGAAAGGCCTTCTCGGCCGTGTGGATGCGCTGGTGCCGCACCAGCGAGGAGCTGTGCCGGAACGCCTTGCCGCAGGCCGGGCACGCGTACGGCGTCTCGCCGCTGTGGATGCGCTGGTGCTGGGTCAGGTGCGACGTCTGGCTGAAGGCCTTGCCGCACTGGGCGCACTCGTAGGGCCGCTCCCCTGTGTGCGTGCGCAGGTGCTTGAGGAGGTCGGAGCTCTTGAGGAAGACTTTGCTGCATGCCCTGCATTCGAAGGCCTTCTCCCCAGGGAGGATGCCGGGGCCGGTGTGGAAGGCCTCGCCCAGCTCGTCCCAGGTGGGGGGCTCCTGGCCAGCGGGGAGTCTCTGGGGCTCGTGCCAAGCTGCCCCCATTCCTAGTTCCCCCACAGTGTGCCTGGCCTCAAGGTCTGGGACACTCTGGAAGGTTCTCCCAGGGGGCTTCTGCACCATGGGCTCCTGCGGCTCCGAAGGCCTTGGCTGCTTGCCTGGCTGGAAGACGCCTGTGAGAGTTTTCTCCTTAGGTGGGCCGCCTGTGGGAGCCCGCAGTGGGGAGGTCAGCCGCAGGCTGACATTGGCCTCACCACTGCCAGGACCTAGCAGGAGCCTTTCCCAGTAGATCACGGAAACTCCTGTGGGTTTTCTCTCTCGAGATGAGGAAGTGCCCCTACACCCCTTCAGGCGGTTTCCAGGTTCACAGGCAGCAGTGGTGGGGAGGACCCTAGCAGGCGTTGGAGGGGGCCTTTCCTGGAAGGTCCTTGGCCATGCTGCCTCCCCAGAAACACCTGTGCCCTCTGCCAGACGTTGGGAACCTGAAGGACCAGAAACAGTGGATGCTGGGGTCATCCTGACCAGGAGGAGGTGACCTGGGCAGGTTGAGTATGTGGGCAAGGGGGACCCCAAGGTCTGCGTGTGAAAGCTGAAGCGAACAGACATCCTTTCTCTGTGTAGCTCACCTGTCTGGGGGACTCCCCAGCCTGCCTATGTTCCTTCCACTGGTAGATATCTGATGCCAGAGTTTTATTTATGAACTCTATTTACTGACTGCCCCTCTCCCCTAGCACCATCAACTCCATGAAGGCAGGACCAGGAAAGTCTTGTTCAAGGCTGTGCCTCTGGTGCTGACAACTGGCCTGGTCATTGCAAGTGCTCAAGAAACAATGAAGGCATAAATGAATGAGTTAATGGCCCCACAGACCATGCAGTGAGGTAAGACAGGGAAGGTTTGAGGCCATACACCTTGGCTGAAGGTGGGGTTCTGAGGTCTCACCACGGCCTGGAGTGCCCTCAGAGTTCCCCCTTTAAGGGCAGCCAAGGCTGCAGCCTCCAGCAGAGGCTAATGATAGAAGGAGAACAGGAGGGAATCAGGTGGGAGGCAGGAGAGGACAGTGTCCAGGAGAAGCGGAACCTTCCCGCCCCTGGAACTCCACTCACCAGGGCTGGGCCTTCTCTGGGCATTCCTGGCCAGGGTCACATCTGACCCACTGAGAACCCAGGGCTCCTCACCACATTCGAGCTGGATGACTATATCAGGTCGGGAGGCAGAGAAGCCTATGACAAAGGACAAGCAAGTGAGGGGCCAGCCCCAGCTCATGACAAGGAACTACCCAACAGAGGGCAGGAACTGTGCAACTAAGAAAACCCAAAGGTTGCATCACAGGTCAGGGCTCACAGGAACAGCTAAATGGTGACTGTGAGGAGAAATGTGTTGGCAATGCCAGAGGAAGGGTACTGAGCCTAGGCACAGAGGTACCACAGCCAGACAGGGACATTCAGCCAGTGGGTGTGGGGCTGCTCACAGGCCACCAGGAGATAAAGGGGTTAGTGCTGGTGGACCAGTATGGCAACAACTGAGCTTTCCCATGGAGGACCCACAGCCTTACCCAGTGAGGCCACGAGTGCGAAGTTCTCCAGCATCACGTGGCGGTACAAGGTCCTCTGGGCTGCATCCAAGAGACCCCACTCTTCCCGGGAGAAGTACACGGCCACATCCTCAAAGATCATCAGACCCTATAACAGTGGGCAGGGGAAGATGGGCATGATCTAAGTTATGGCTGTGTGACACAGGACTCAACTCCCTGTCCCAATGGCTACTTGTCCTGATGTCCCTCAGACATTCACCCTCCTCCCCCAAGGTTTTGCAGATTCAACTTCCCTCACCTGTCTGGGCTCCCTCTTTGTCTACGCCTTAGATGCGTCCTCCGCCTGCCCACTGGCCACTCTAGACAAGGCAGCCAGAGTAAGCCCCTGGCCTTCTGCAGGCTGCCACCCCAAAGGCAGTCCCAGGCGTCCAGTCACTCTCAAGCCTTTGCTTAAGCTTACCCTCCCCAGACGTGCCCCTACTGCTCTTGCAATAAGTAACTGTATAGTCCCACCTACCCAGCCCTGCGGAAATTGCCTGATGTTTTAAGGCTGCTTGATCCCCTGTTTGAAGGACTGGCTGATCCCCTCCAGTCTCTACAGGAGTGGACCAAAGAATCTGATGGGCACACAGGAGCCAGCTCCTCCCTCCATAGTCACACCCCCTCTATTTCCTTCTCACTTGGCTGCCACCTGCCAGACTTCCTGAGAGACCAGGGGACTGCCAGCAGCTCTCCATCTCCCTGGAGCACTAACTGCCCACCTATGACTGAGTTGGTGAAACCCCCTCCTCTACATTTGATTCCCAGGCCCTGCCTTGGCTCAGGATACCAGAACTCTGTCCCTAAAAATCAACAATTCCAGGTGCACGTGATGCCTCCACTGTGGGGCAGACTCTTCCCGACATTCCCCTGAAACCTGCTTACCCTTCAAATTTCTGATTTTGTCTCCAGCAGCTCCATTTTTCTAATGCTCAGACTAAGAAACTTGTGAAGGTCCTTCACTCAGGACACACGCACACACACCCCGAACCTGATAACAGGCATCTATGTTGGGCATTCAACCGCTTTCCTGACTTCAGTCTGGTCCACATGCCATCATCGCCCCCTCCCCGCACACCGCGCCCCGCCTCTGCGTCTGTCTCCACTCGGGAAAGGGCGGGATAGGTTAAACTTCCTAACCTAAAGCATGTCCAAGATCTTCCACAACGCCCGGCGCCCTCGGGATAGTGCACTCCCCGGCCTGACCCACTATCTTCTCTCCCCGAGCTCCGCGTGAGAAGCTCTGGTCCGGAAGCACCCAGGCTGCGCCGACCCCCGCTGCTACACGCGGGACCCCCACCCCTTGGCTGCCAGCGGTGGGGGCCCTGCGCGCGCGGGGACTCCGGGCCAGGGCACACCCGAGAGGGGAGGCCAAGACGTCCAGGTAAAGTCCCTGCTAGGCGGGGCTCTGGTCCACGGAGGGGTCCGGGCGGCGGGCGGTGCTGGGNNNCGGGCGGTGCTGGGACTCCCTCTACTCACCTGCGCCGCCGCCGCCATCAGGATCAGCGCTTGGGCGGCCGACCCAGGCGCCCCGGCTCCTGGTCTCGGCCTCCCGGTCCGTCAAGGGGGCGGACGGCCAGGGCACCGCCTCCGCAGCGCCACGGAGGCCGCGGAGCACG